GCAAGTGAAATAGATTTTAGACTAAAACCAAAAACAATCTTTACCTTCTGACCTTTAAGAAACTGCATCACTCGGTTCATACTTCGATCGAGGCATTTGAGGCTAGTAGAATTGGGAGACAAAAATGATTATGAATGGCAACCAAGCAAACATCATAACAGGTATACTCAAGCAATACTAGTCGAGTACATCAAGGACAAAACCTTAAGCACAACAATGACGCTATAGTGCTCGAATTTTTTTGAGAGAAGGGATGACCGACTTTTTCAATGGTGGGGGCTCCTTTTTTTGAATTTTTTTTATTCATGTGAGACCTACACATGTGAGAGGATGTTAACCATTCAGGTTAAAACATTCAGGCAAAGTAGCAAAATTCTAAGCACAAAGTGCTTACAATGCAAAAGGAAAGAAGCCCACAATAAAGCACAAGGTGATAAAATCAAACAAGCACTTAAAAATAATTTTGCTTTATTTTTTAAAAAACAAAAAACTAATTATAGTAAACTAATACATATTGAAGAATTATTTAAAAGATACAAACTAGGCTTCAAAAGTTTTTTTTATGCCCTTGTTTGATTTCCATTATTCTAAAAATTCATTTTTTCAAAATTCATTTTCAACCACACATTTTTCAATAAAATAATATTACACGTAAATTTTAAAATTTTTATTTGATTTTTAACCACACATTCTCCATTAATTTACTATTCAAAATGCATTATTTCTGGGGATCTATACAAGGGCTATATCCATGTTTACATTATTTTTATCATAGTATCGTTATACCTATGTAAGCTTATGTAGAGCATGTTTGACTAAGCTCAAATGAGTTTACTCAAACATGCTACTTTCTTCTCTCGTCTTTTCTTTGCGTTTTTCAACTATTTTGCAGCATCACTAGCTAGGTCGGACCCCCCCCCCCCAACCAAAACTGGAAACTAGCTGAATTTCGTGTAAGAGAAGAAATGAAGGTAAATGTTGTAATCATTATCAGACTAGACTGCCTTCATGCTAATCTACGTATACTACATCTTAGTTACATGAAAATTGGGTCATGCATTTAATATTTAGTGCAATCGAGATTCGATGTGGTTACAGAATAGAGACACGTGATAATGAAGCATATTGCTCTCTCTTGTTGATGTAAGAATAGTCGTAAACCATCTTATAACACGTATTATAAAAATATGATTTTAATCCGTATCAAAGTGGGGCTAAGTCTATAAGAACATGGTATTTAGTTTTTGAAACAAGAAATTAAGAACATGGAACTACAGAGAAATTGATCTACATCATAGGCACAGCAAAATTCTACAGGGTCATTAAAACTGACTTTAAATAAGAAATTAATTTGAAGAAGAAAAATAAAACTTTGGCCCATGGGTGGGTTGGAAATTGTTTCCACCATGACATAAATTATAACAGCCTAACCTAATATTTCTCTTCTTCTCTATTCTCAGGCCGACTCTCTCTACTTTATTTACATTATAAACAGAACTGTAACCTCCATGATGATCACCATTTATTCGAACCCAAAAAATTGAAGAATTAAACAAATTATCTTATAACCTGGTGCGTCCAATCACTAGCAGAAACACTAGCAATGACATTTGCTATTTTAACACTTGTTATTGCATCGTTCTTTACTTCTCCAGCCATTTCTGGCAATTCTCAGGCCCGGATTAAGGCAAGGTGTGCTCAAACCCCATATCCACAACCTTGTGAGCACTTCATGGATCATAACCCTAAATATGGATTTTCTATTAAGGGAAATTTTGATTTCTTCAAGATGTCTAAGCAATTAGCCTTAGACACTGCAATGCATGCCCAAGTAAACGCGTATTCTCTAAGCGCAAAATGTCGTAATGCTAAGGAAAAGGCTGCATGGGCCGATTGTCTAGAACTATATGGAAATACAATTATGAAAATCAACAAGTCTATTGATCATGGTACTTCGATCGACGTGCAAACATGGCTTAGCACGGCCTTAACCAATCTCGAGACATGCGAAAGAGGGTTTATTGACTTTGGGATGACCGATTATGTATTGCCTTTAATGTCAAATAATGTTACTAAATTAATTAGTAACACCCTATATTTGAATAAAGGGTCATATGAGGAGCCAGGTTAAAAAGAAGGATTCCCAACATGGGTGTCACCGCCTGACCGGAAACTTCTACAGTCAGAAACTCGTCAGGCGAATATTGTGGTGGCCAAAGACGGCTCCGGGAACTATAAGAAGGTGAATGAAGCCTTCGCCGCAGCAAAAGAGCGGTCGGGAAGTGGAAGGTACGTGATATATGTGAAGCAAGGGACTTACAGTGAGAACGTAGACATTGGAAATGGTTTAAAGAATATTATGGTGGTTGGGGATGGTATTGGGAAGACTATTTTAACAGGAAGCAAGAGCGTCGGGGGAGGCACCACCACCTTCAAATCCGCCACAGTTGGTAAGTAAAAGAATCGATAAAATTAATTCTGAAAAGTTTAAAGGCCTGAACACTGTTGCACGAAGAATTTTTTTATCAACCTTTATCATAGAAATAACATGCAACTTGAAATATGTTGAACAAATTAAGCATATAGATATTTGGATACAATTTATAATTTGCCAAAAGAAGGCCAGTTTAATATATATAAAAAATCCTGGGTCAGAGTTAATTACCTGTCCAATAATCCTAGATTATATGAAGTGTACCCTGGAATTTGTCAAATATTTTTTCGGATAATTAATTATTAATAAGTATCAATCGCGTTAAGGAATAAATTATGAAGTAAACTTGATAGGATTTATAAATGTCACTTTTGAAGAAGCATTAAGGTTACCTGTTTAGGAAATAGCTACCTGATTGAGTGATTGTTCGTACATACATATGCATACAGATGCATGATTTTACACAAGCATATATGTATATGTATTCTAGGTGTTATATACAGGAATCATCAATCATACTACATGTACAGAGAATTTTGCAAGACAATTTGTTAAGTTGACACAATTTTATTGAATGTTGGACCAAAATTCACTTCAAATCAGCCAATTTATCATTGTCATCTAGTCATCTGTAAAAATTTATGTAAATTTCATTTGTAAGAGGAGCTTAATTCTATATATAACATTTGTTTGATAGAGCTTTCCATAGAATTTAATTAACTTTTCAACTCGTCAAATTTCAATTTGATCATAAATTATATGAAATACACAAATTTTGTCTAACTCTTCCATCACAAATTACGTCAACTTTTATTAACTTCTACTACAACCAACCCCTGTCTACCTAACACAGATTATACACCATTTTTTTTTTTTTAAATGTCGAACCAACATAAGATAGCGTTAGTAACTTGTTAGATATACGATATTCAGCTGTCGTTGGAGATGGATTTATTGCTCGGGGCATTACATTTAGAAACACAGCAGGGCCCCAAAATCACCAGGCAGTGGCACTCCGATCTGGATCCGACTTCTCAGTATTCTACCAGTGCAGTTTCGAGGGATACCAAGACACTCTTTATGTCCACTCGGAGAGACAATTCTACAGAGGATGTGACATTTATGGAACAGTAGATTTCATTTTCGGCAATGCAGCTGTGGTTGTGCAAAACTGCAACATCTATCCAAGAAAGCCTCCAAACAGGACTAACACTATAACTGCACAAGGAAGGACCGACCCGAACCAAAACACTGGCATCTCCATTCACAAGTGCAGGGTTACGGCAGCTTCGGATTTGAAACCGGTTCAAAGCTCCGTGGAAACATATCTGGGTCGACCCTGGCAAAAATATTCACGTACTGTTTTCATGGAGACTTTCTTGGATAGCTTGATTGACCCGGCAGGTTGGATGCCATGGAGTGGAAATTTTGCTTTAGATACGCTGTACTATGGTGAGTACATGAATACGGGTGCCGGATCCTCCACTTCCAGGCGGGTTAAATGGAAGGGTTATCGGGTTATTACCAGTGCTAGTGAAGCTTCAAGATTCACACCTGGTAACTTCATTGCTGCAAATTCTTGGTTGCCAGGAACCAATGTGCCTTTTACATCTGGTCTTTGATTTGATTTGATTTTTTATTGTCATGGTTTTCATCGATTAGGTTAATTAATTGTATTTAGAAAAGTTTAAATCTGTTGCCTCGAGATTTGAGTGGTCATTATTAATCTTGCATTTGCAGCATGCTATGAAATCAAAGAAAATTCCTCGATAAATGAAAGTCAATAGAATAAGAATTCAGAATTTTCCAAAAATTTGATTGTCAACAAAAGAGTTTCTTTTTGTTGAAATTTACTTTTCACTCATTTTCAATCATTTCTAATATATATGATAGGTCTCATGAATTTAATGATCCATCAATTAATTATTGTGATATGTTATCGATAGTTAATATAAACTAAACACGTGCCCATTAGATCATTTTTCATTAGGTTAAGCACCAATGACATATCACAACAATTAATTGGTGAATTATTAAATTCATGAGACCTACCATTAATTTATTCGGTGCTTAACATAAGCTAAGCACCGATACTCATTAGATTATTTCCATATATATATATATATATATATATATATATATATTGTTTATGTTAATAAATGGAAGAGAGCAAAAAGGAACTAAACAGAGTGAAAGATTTTAAAGGAGCTGAGCATTCATTTATCTTCAGCCACATACTTTATTTACAATCACTGAGCCCATTATATAGAGCTTCCACCAACGGTACAAACGAAAAAAATATGAACATGAACCCGTTAACTCCTAAAGAGGTGTTCAACATTCTAACCAACCAAAGACTTGGTAGATAATCCTTGCAATGTTGCTCCGGAGTAAAGCAAAGAAACTGGATATCTAGCACTAAATGCCACGTAAACTAATAAAATATAAAGGAAACATGGAACAACTTTTAACAATCCCTTCCTTAAACTGAAAGTTTTCAATAATTCAGTTTAATATACTTGTTATGAGATAACTTCTTTCAAACGTGTTTTGTCAAAATGCAGACTCCAAGTAATTTTCTGAACTTCTCAAATGATGCCAACTTGAGGGTCTTGGTGAATATATCAGCAATCCGATCTTCACTCCTGCAATATATGAGATCAATTACGCCATCCTTTGTAAGATCCTTAATAAGTGGTACTTCACATCAATATGCTTGCATCTTTAATGTAGAATAGGATTTTTAGAGAGTATTATTGTTGAACTATTGTCACAATAAACTAGTGTCGGTCCTTGTTGCTTGAAATTGAACTCTTCAAGAATTTTTCTCAGCCATATAGCTTGACATGCACATGAAGTTTCAGTACGAACTCAGCTTAGGTTCTTGATAAAGTGACAATTGGTTGTTTCTTTGAAGACCATGAACCACTCCTGAACCAAGCATAAAAGCATACCCTGAAGTGCTTTTCTTGTCATCTTGATCTCTAGCATAATCACTGTCAGTGAAAATCATCAAATCTAACTTTTCTTCCGTCTTGTAGAACAATCCACAATCTAGAGTACCTTGTGAGTAACGAAAAAACTTCTTTGTAGCAAGAAGATGGCTCTTTCTTGGATGTTCCATGTACCTGCTAATAAGACTAACAGTATGCATAATATCATGTCTTGTTGCGGTCAAGTTTTCTACAATTTGCTTATAGAGAGTGCTGTCAACCCTTTTTCTTTTGGATCTTTGATGAGAGTTAGACCAAATTCTGTTGGAGTGCTTACAAAATTGCAATTCTTCATCCAAAACCCGTCTAGAATTTCTTGCACATACTTCTTTTGAGAAATAAAATTACCATCAGTAGATAACACTACTTCCAAACTAAGAAAATAGCGCATCATTCCTAGATCAGACATTTTAAACCAAACATTATGGATTCCTTAATTTTTTTAAACATGACAGTACCGTTCCTAGTAAATATAAGATCATCAACATATAAACATACGATTAACATTTTTCCTCTATCACCAGTTTTAATATAAAGTGTATGCTCATATGGACATTTTTCATAAAACTTCCTTTTTAAAAAAAAAAGCATCAATACGACTATATCAAGAACTTGGGGCTTATTTCAATCGATATAGAACATTCTTTAATTTATACACTTTATGCTCATTTCCAATCTTAATATAACCGGGAGGTTAATCAACAAATACCTGTTCTTCCAAATCTCCATGTAAAAAA